AACTCCTACTCACAGCCGCAGGCAACACACACTTATGCACACACTTTCGCACAGTCTCGCGCTGAGAGGGAAACTCTCACCTCACCAAAGTGTCCATGCAGACAGACTTTTCCATCTGCAGAGCTGTGAGTCACAGACATGAGGTAGAAAGAAAGTGTGTGTGTGTGTCTGTGTGTGCGCGCACTTTTCTACAGAGCTTGAAGGATGCCGTTTCTTTTTAAGTTGAGAATTGAAGATTGAGAGTTGACGACGTTCAATAATTCCTTTACACTAATATTACTTAATATAACACTATTTCCTTTTAAGAACTAAAAATGTAACATGGTAATTTCATGTTCTTTTTAACATGTATCATACTATTACCATGTTTTTTCCTCTGAGTACCATGGTATACAACAAATTGCTGTGGTATTACCATTCATTACATCACTGTACCATGGGAATACCATGGTATTCTCTGAAGTACATTCAGAGCACTATAATACTGTGATATGTAAATAGTACTTATTGTGTTCGTATTTCAAAAATACTATTATAATACTATATATTCTTTCAAGTACCTTGGAGTACCATATAAATACCATTGTGGACTATTATAGTATTACCATCCGATACTATCATTGTACCATGTTGAATACCATCACAGTACCATGGTGTTACCATCAGTATTTTTGTGAAGTGTTATTATATAATCATTATATATTTATAATATAATGATATATTATTTACAAGCCTTTGTCAACTGGCTGCAAACAGTCGATGGAATGAGCGAACACACAATTCATACTTCAGGGCGAATATTAAGCAATGTTGGGTGTCATTCCTATTCTTGTAGGCCTATATAAATGTCATATTTTTGTTATATAGTGTTTGTAGATTTTTCTTTTTAGTTCATTTATTGGAATACCATGTAATGCAATGCACCATGTACCATGGTGTTTGAATCAATGTCATCATTGATATCAAAGAACTATGGTATTACCGTCGGTTACTATCAGTGTACCACCACAGTAGTGTAGTTGTTGTGAGGTTTGACAGGAACAATGACAATGGCTTTGACAATGAACTGATGTGCTTATCAACACTTTGCTTGAGAGGTGTAGCTCTTTAGCAGCTCTGAAAAATAGACAACTCTCCTCTCATGCAGGGCAGAGCTGTGGTGACATTAACATTCTGATGCCTTAACGTCTCTGATGAATGTTTCAACTGCGGAGTCTTTCCCTCTCTCTCTCCCTCTCTCTCTTGCACACACACACACACACACACACACACACACACACACACACATACACACACGGTCACTTGTATACAATACGCATTGGCAGAACAATCCTCCTTCACCCTCATTCATACGCGCTCAGACGTTGCATTTGCGTGCCTGTGACAAGAAGTTTTTTACCGCCTCTCTGAGGAGAGCTCACTTCTCCTGCCTCCTGCAGGGAACACCAGCCTATTTATAGATCAAGGGTTAGCAGGGTGGAGAGAGAGAACAGAGAGAGCAAGAGATGAGGAGAAATGCTTTATCAATTATTTACACAGCACAGGTCATTCTCTACTCTCGTCACAGATTTTGACCTGTTTTGAGCTACACTAGACCCTTTTATATCCACATCACAATGTGCATCACAATTATTTATGTTACTATTAAAAGCATTTGCAAGCATTTTTTAATTTGGTAAAGCAGCATAATTCTAGGTGAAGCATATTCTATGTGGAAAAAAAAAAATAGTATAAGACTTCATTTAACCATCGGGAATTGATCATGAACAATTGCCTATATATGACTGGTGGTTGAAAAATAAGAGAGCATGGTGACCTTAAAGTCATTTCAGAGGCATAGAAAGAGGCATACATGTAAGACCATGTTTAAATAGGGTTTCAATGTTGGCTTGAGGGATATTGCCCAGTGTTGTAATACTTGAGTCTGGACATGGTCTTGGTCTTGTCATGGACTCTGAAGCATTTGAAGCATTCAGTCTTGACTCGGACTACAACACTGCAGATACATTTTCTTTTTCTCGCACATATGATCACACTGCTGGACACTGTGGAGGCTCGCGTGACACTGACTGAAAACTAGGCTTCATTCACCCCAAAGGAAAGCATATTTACACTGTCTGAATTGTTCAGACTAGGGCTGTTCATTTCGGTTATTTTTCCTAACCGACAACCGACGCTCGTTAAAACCGATTGTTAACCGTTAACCGACAAGATTATTAGATTATATAGAAAGGATAAGGTCTGTGACCCGTTAAAAAAATACTCACATTTGTTTCCCGGGAATTAATTTTAAGTGCGCAAAAAGCAGCAAACAACAGAACATGAGGATTCACATGGTCATCATATCACATCACGCACCTGCAGCGCTTCTGCGAGCGGAGAAAAACATAATAAAGCTAGGATATATATATATATATATATAACAAATAAATAGGCCTATACGAGAAACATATTTTATCAGGGTTGTGATAATTATTTTTAAGGCACTCTACCTTTTTAAAATAAATACTGTAATAAAAAAAGTTCAAAGGAATAGTTTTTTAGTCAGATAACATAAAAACAAGACCCCTCGACGCCCTTTAAACTTCCCAATCAAACAGCAAGAACGAAAGAGAACAGGCACCTTTGTTTATATTGCTGTGTGTAGAACGTTAGCTGCATTTTTAATATTTAATTTGAAAGAAATGTAATTTCGTCCCCCGCACTTTATTCGGGCAGGTGTGTTCACGTAGAGGTTTCTAGATTTAAATTCAAAGAGACAGTATCGATAGTCTATGCATGACCTGACGTTTTATTCGTATCCAAAAGTGAATATCTGGATGCAGTGTATGTTTAATTCATACTCGAAGCCGGAGGGCGCTCTCGTGCAGAAAGTCCAAAACAGACTCATAGAAGGAATGACTTATGACGTGCAGGAAACCCTAATATGGACACAAGCACCCGGCTATCGCTGTAGCTGAGCTGAATAAAAAGCAGAAAAAAACGTGAAGACAATAAACATGATTGCGAAAATATGCGGTTTATGTGTGTTTTTCAAGTTATCGCCAGGTAATAAATAAACTTTATGAATAATGCAGTACTGATTGACATATCATTTAGTAGCCTATAGAAACTATAAATTTCCTGCCTTATTCTGTGATAAAAATGGGGAAAAGGTGCTCGTAGTAGCCTTTATAAACTGATCATATAATTGTCATTAGGAAAATATTGAACAAAAATATTATAGCCCCTTGCTGCAGCTAACCTTACTTCCACAGGCTACAAACAGCAATATAAACAACAGCTGTGCATGCTCTCTTCACGCAGTTCTTGTATAATAATAATAATTTAATAATATAAGTATACAAGCACACCGCTCCGCTGAGAACTCCACTTACCGGCAGCCGTAGACGTTATGAAGGCATCCTGATAGTGCGCTACATTAAAGGTGTCTGAACCCTGATGAGACCGTCAGGTGAAAGGTCATCATCATGTGGATAATTTTATTTACGACTAAATTATAATTCATTCATTTTACTAATAGTTAGATTGGGCAGGCCTTCACAAAATGCATTTAATTACAAAAAAAATAAAAAAATTGCCTTGACAAAAGGGCACTTTGTGCATCAAGGAGAAAGGGGCAGGTGCTCAAGCACCCATCGCACCCCCCCTCTGCACGTGCCTGGTTTGTAAACATTTCATGTCGGCATTAGGCCTATTTCTGAATGAAATAAAAAAAATGCGACTTATACGCAACTTATGTTTTTTTTCCCCCTAAAAAACACATTTTTTTATACGCGTAGCGGATTTTAACCATGCAGCAAACCTTTTTAAATATTTTGATAAATTACTGAAAAAATAAATAATTAAATGACTTTTTAAACCGTTTAACTGATTTAACTGGTCTTAGTCTTGACTTGGACTCAATCTACAGCCTGTACTCAGATTCAGATGAGCTGGCTTCGACTACAACACTTATGTAGTCCATTCTTTTTCATCCATTTTCTTCCCCAAAGTACAATAATATACGTTTAGTCAAGTTTTCTTGCACCACAAATGGCAATCATGTAGTTTATGTCTATTTTCCACCTTTTTTGGTGCTTCAAGTTAAACTGTTGTTGGTACTGTGCCTTTAGAGGAATAGTTCACCCAATAAAAAAAGAAAATTCTGTCATCATTTACGCACTCTCATTTTGCTTTGAACTGGTATGACTTCCTTTCTTCTGTGGAACACACAATAAAATACATTTTTAAGAATGTTTAAACTCTTTTGCCTATACAGTCAAAGTTAGTGGAGTCTTTAAAATCACTGAATTTTTATTTTTTGGATGAACTATTTCTTTAAGACTTCTATATGCAAATGACTTCTGTTATAATTGGCTAATCTCTTACTAACTTTTCACACTGTCATTCATCAAAGCTTGTACTGTTAGTGAATTCTAAATATGTGAACGTGGTCAGTCATATTCTAATGAGCTTACTGTTTTGGCATTAATACCATGATGATTTCTGAATGATTTTCCAGCTTAGTTTAGTAGATGGTTCATGTTGAATGTGTGTTCAAAAAGAACAAGGAAAGGAGCAAGGAAAATCCTGTTTTCAGTGATGCATCCCCTTTAACTACTGTTGAAATTGTAACTTCTGGTTATCAATGGTGCTGATTCTGTTCACCATCATACAGGTTGTAAACTCCCAGAGGAAGTTGACACAATGCAGAGGAGGACAATAATGTTAATGCTCTGTGGTGCGTAACAGTGTGGCCTCTGTTATATAGTATACACGAGGGCCTTAGAGTATGATTCTCCATGCCTGTAGCTGTGTGCTTTTGTTGAGTAATGTGTTTTGACATAACTCATATTCTCTCAAACCTCAGGACTAACATGACGTTTAAGGAATCAGACATGTATGGTTTGCGAAGGGGCATTCTGTTATTTCCATGCAATGATGTGCCTTTTTCTTCCATTTTCTCTTCCCTTTTCCATGTCTCCTATCCTTTCTCCTTCTCACTCTTCTGTCTGCAGTGAGTGACAGCTGCTTCAGAAACCTTGCTGAGGACCGCAGTGGAATCAACCTCAAAGATCTTGTCCATGACCCGTCCTTGTAAGTGACTCACACACAATACACTGGCTATTTACAATACTGTCCTGTTAAACATAGAACATTGCCAGACAGTCATTGTGTCCCATTCATAGACTTTCTGTGTGCTGAATGGATGGTTGTCCTTCATGAAGATCAAGGCATGAATTTCAAGGCCCTTTCCCAGATCAAGACATGTTTGTAAAGTCCAAAAAACCACAGGGCAGCAGTGTTCAGTCTTGCTCCTGGAGGGCCAATGTCCTAAAGAGTCCTCTAACCTGCCTCAACACACTTGCCTGGAAGTTTCTAGTAACCCTAAAGCTGGTTCAATTAGGATTGGAGCTAAATTCTTCAGGATAATGGCCCTCCAAGAGCAGGATTGGACATCCCTGCCATAGCTTAACCCTCTTCACCATCCCTGTGTGCCTCTGAATGCTACCTTAAGCCGATCCCACACTGATTTGAACTACTACCCAATGATCCAGACTAATATGTGGACTTGGTGGAGGACTGCAAGCCTTTAGGTCGGCATTTGGAACAAGACCCAAGAGTCCATCCTTGACAAAGGAGGACAGCAGCTACAATTTCTTACTCGGTCTGTGTACATTACCTTTCATGCATTGTTGCAAACATTATTGATTCTGTGAATCGACAGAATTTGAAGCAAAGCTTCTATACAGTTTCATATAATGCAGGCCTCTCGTATGGCGGCTACTTCTCATATACTTCAACAGAGACCTCTCGTGCTTTGAGAAACCTTTAACAATCTTCAGCAAGAAGGAGAACTAATTGTCCTTCCATCTCTCTGTATAAATGCTGGCTTCTCTAGGTATAATCTGAAGGTTGGAAGGCCTCAAGGTACATCCAAATCAAATGTTCACTAACAACGTGTCTAAAAAGATGCACCAATCTAGTTGATTTCTGAAGTGCCTTGGAAGACCTGTTTCCTTGGGAAGGACGTTAATACAGAAAACACTACCTACTAAGCTATTGGTACTTGAAACTCAGCAACGGTGCAATGCTCCATCCTAATAATTGAATTATCTGGGGGTTTTGGTGTTGTGGCATTATGGGTAAAGAAGTAGGGACATAAGTCTCTATGATGGATTAGGAATTGATGAGAAATTGTTCCAAGACTGCATCTGTTTCTACTTTAGTATCAAAAACCAAAGCTTTGTTCAGAGCAATTCTACGTACCTGGACCAAGGTCAGAGGAGTGACAGAGACAGCAGGATGTAGGTCTCTGAAAGATGTCAGAGAGGAAGAGAAGCATGGGGCGCAGCCAGAAGGTAGAGATAGTTCAGAGAGTATTGACGGATAAGGTATGTGTGTGTTGTCTGTTGACTGGTGAGCTCCATCTCCAGTGCTCTGTCAGCTCAGGTGAATTGATTCATTGGATGAGCTGTCAGTTTTACTAACGAGGTGTGGTAAAAATAGAGCTGAATTAATCATAGTGGGGACACACACGGCTCATCGTCCTCTGGATAGAGACGATTCCGATGTCTTCACCTACAGAGAGGTGAACATGCAGACGTTTGAGAGAGGGACAGCTGAGCACTCACCTGAGAAACAGAGATGGACGTGTCTTCACCCCAGAGCAGAAAAGTGTCACCAAGGTCATGGTTCCTTATGAGAGCGACTTTTATTTGCTGTGGGCCTGCAGACAGTTATTTATTAACTCGCCAAAGCTTTTTAAAGGGATAGTTCATCCAAAACTGAAAATTCTGTCATTAAATACTCACCCTCATGTCGTTCCAAACCCGTAAGACCTTCGTTCATCTTCAGAACACAAATTAAGATATTTTTGATGAAATCTGAGAGCTTTATGACCCTCCATAGACAGCAACACCACGTTCAAGGCCCAAAAAGGTAGTAAGGACATCGTTAAAATAGTCCATGTGACATCAGTAGTTCAACCAGTGGTTCAGCTATCCCTTTAAGTGACAGTAGAGAGGAGACAGGAAATTGGGAGGGATTGGATTGGGATGGGACCATAACTGAACCTGCATTGCCTGCATAAGCGCCACAACTCGACGTATGTTAAAGTCAACATTAAATCAAAATGGACAATTCTTCTTCTTCTTCTTTTTTATCAAATATTACTGTGTAATTATCTGTGCACATCATTAATTTTGTAAATTTGATGCACACTTGTAATCTTTAATCAAAGTAATTCCCCTTCTTCTTGCAATGATGGTGTTTGCAGGGCAGGACAACCAGTCACTCATATGAGATCACAACAATAGCAAATGACACCAATCCAATCAATTCTTGACGAACAAAATCAAGTCCCACACTATATTTTTTCACGCTATTTCAGTTGGATATACGTCACTATAGGCAAGAAAAGTCTATCTATTCTGTTTCATGCCGACTTTAATAGTGGCTGCCTTTTCTGTATTTACAGTGAGTACAAGTTAGACACCTAATTCACTACAGGACATACAGGTAATCAGGTAACTGCGTAAATACGTCCAGAACATCTGTGCTAAATGCAGTTTGTATGATTCTTAGTGCTCTAATGTAGAGGATACTTTACTGAGTCTCTTCTAACTGAAACGTTTTTTAACTTCCTGTTTACAGTGGGCGTGATTTGCGCATTGCTAGTTGCACTAGGAAAGCAGTGCTGTATTAACACTAAAAAGTATTACTTAATATTATTTAATACATTAATAATGGCAATTACTTGAAGTACTCACTATGAAACTATGTTATTATATTCAGTGACTTCTCCTACTTTTCTTAGTGATATTGCCAGTTTACCAGGAAGTGACGATTTTGTTCTCTTTGACTCATTGGATGGAAACGGTGCTTATTCGCAAATATTTTATGCGATATTCCAATTTTGCGCACAAGTTAAATTCGCAACTTTGGATGGAAACCCAGCTACTGTTTTAGCAGATTTAGTGCCTTGCTAAACTTGATTGCAGGTGGTAAATGAACAGCATGCTGTTTTTATGCACTGAAATACTATATAAAATTGGTGTAACATGGTTAATGAATTCGTCCCTATATATTCCAAAGCCTTGTCTGCTTAGGTGAGCATGGTTGGGTATTAGTTGCGTCCATGCACTGCACCACAGAGTTTTGAAGTTTTCAACCTCTTTTCAGGTTGAAACCTTTACTAAATCAGTAAACCCAGACACGTTAACATACTTGTTTGGGTTTGAGAAAGGCTGTGCAGCCCAACCCACATACACATTACACACTCATTAATAAAGCCTTAATCGATCACAGATTCAGAAGACTCTCCAGTCAGATTCAGCGATCTTCCTTCACTTTCCTTTGTTCGTGTTTACTCACTTACACAAACAAAATACTCAGGTTGAAATCCCAAACTCATCTCCGTCTTAAAGCACCTCTCCCCAAACCCCCAATCTTCACACACCAGTGGTTTCCCTGGCAACCGGATTAAAGAGCTCTGCATCTTTGTGTTCAGCATATTCTTCTTTTAGTCTCCGCTCTCCGTGTCTCTTTCTCCCTCTCTCTTTCTTTCTTTTTCTCTATTTGTTGCTCTTTTGTGGGCATTACACCATGATAGTCAGATGGATAGATAGATTAAGAGATGACAGATCATATACAGTTGATAGATCATTGCTTCATGAGAAAACGTAGATGCAAAACAACAACATAATTAACACAGAAAGCCCAAAATATACAATTCCCTCTCTCTTTCTTTCTGTTTCTCGATTTCTTGCTCTTTTGTGGGCATTACACCATAGTAGTTAGATGGACAGATCCATCAAGAGAAGATAGATCATATAGATAGATCAGTACTTCATGAATAGATGCAAAACATCAACGTAATCAACACCGAATATACAAATAAGCCCCAGAAAGCCAAACTGAAAAAAGGGATTTTGCTAAATCATTTCAGTTTCCTGACACATGAGCTTGTCCTTGTTTAAAAATCCTCTTTAGTTAAACCCATCGCGCTGTGGTTGGCCTATGCACTCTGGACACGCCGAAACATGGTGCTCATGCAGGTGATACAAGTTTGAGTCTGACTTGCATCATCTCCTGATCCCATTCGTTGTAACAGGCAACTGATTTCCAACTTTGATGTGATAGTTTGCATCTTGTATCACCTCTGTCTTCTCACATAATAACAAATTAGACTTAAATGAGCATGAAACACTGATTTGTTCATGTATTTCGTATGTAAACATGCCATCATTTTTTGTCAAAAATCAAAAACGAAATGTGCCCACATCTGTCTGAGCTGCACTCTATTTATTGCTAGTTGCAGTACTAGAAGCAGCCACTAGTATGTGCTGCACTTCAGAATTTAAATATGGTTTGCTCAGAAGTTTTGTGCATATCTGTTCAAATTTCCTCTCTCTCCAGAGAATTTACACCATATAGGAGTACACATATATGCTTATATAGGAAAGTGGTACTTGAAACCTAGCCATTGCGCTAATCCACCTGTTTTGTGGCCTAAAAACAGGGCTGTCAAAGTTGAATCCTCTGTGAGCCGTCACCCCTGTGAATGCAGAAGCGAATAAAACAGCAAGAGCCCTGTGAAAGAAGAGAAAATTCTTCTTTAACTGTCATTCCTGTTGTGGGTGGAGTGTGTGGGGATGTATTTTGACAGCTTTCTGGTACCTCTGGCATTGTGTTGCTCTTTCCCTTTCCTGCTCTCTGTCACATTGTGTTCTTTTCCTCTCGCTCCCCATTTCTCCCCTGCTGTTGGGACTGAACATACACTAACGGTTGTTGTCGTTTGTGTGTTTCACCCACAGGCTTGGAGGCATAATCTCTGCATACAAAATAGTCCCCGATGAGATTGACGAGATCAAGGTAACGCTTCCTCTCACCCTTTCAGTGAGGCTTCAGTGTGCACATCCATACACACCTTTGCACCTTGCTGCACCCTAGAGGCCAGTAATTGTGCTGCACTCATAGTCATAACATGCTCTTTTTGAAGTTTATCACATATGGAAAAATGTAATGAAGTATCTAAAATGGATTTGGACACTTGAGCTGCATTTAAAAAGTAGAAATGTCATTGCACTAGAAAACACAAGCACACTTTTTTAACCAAAACATTTCATTAAAAGAATACTGTGAGGTTTTAAAATGATAAAACAAATATATGTGGATCATGTTCATAGTTAATGTGATGAACTTCACCACTTTATACATCCACTAAAAATCACCTCGGTGGACTAGTTGGTTAAAAGTCTGTTGCTGCGATGATGCAATGACTTGCATGTGCAAATACTTTTTGGAGCCACTGTATATGATATTTTTTGCTGGTAACAGCAGTTTAAAATGTAATATTTTATTTATCAGGCCAGACTATATGCCCGAAATAGCTGATGTGATGTTGCACCACTAAATTGAGGGCGACTGCTCATACGGTGCACAAACGCACACACGCAAATGTACCTTTGTGCACTTTACAAAATTACTGCAGAACATTTTGTGTTGATATTCTGTGTGTTTTTGTGCATTAAAGGAGACGCTGGTGGACTGGTGCGATGAGAAGGAGCTCAACTTGATCCTGACCACCGGTGGAACGGGTTTTGCACCCCGTGATGTCACGCCTGAGGTACATGGGAGCCCACCTGTTTGTGTTTGTGTCCATGTGAGTGTGTGTTTCTGCCCCCACACCCATGTGTCCTTGTTTTTCTGAGTCTGACTGTGAGTGAGAGAGAGAAATTGTGACGTTTGTATATTTGTGCATTGAGTTTGTGTACAATTTATTTTTCCATTCACATGCATGCTGTTTGGCTGATGATTTCTTGTGAAACAAACAGTTCTTGGAAAAATGTGACTTTTTAAAGGCTTTTCACAGACTTTTTATAAACTTTTAGACCTTTTACCTGTATATATAAAATGACCAGCTCATGTCCAGCCCAAGTAGAAAAATGCGCTGTTGCTGCCAGATCTTGATTGCCGAAAATTACATTGTGTTTGATGCAAAACCAACTCGACTAAATCAAAAGAAAAAAACACTAACTGTATATTTTTTATTATTTTTATTTTCTCAAGCAAAGCAAATTTTAAAAGCCCACTGAAAACATATCTTCTTACATTTTTGGTCATAGACAACGTATGTTGAAGATATACGTTATTGTCAACGTTATTGCCTAAGCAGTAAATTACATTTTTTTTAATAAAAACGTGGGCTATATAAAATTTTTATAATAACAAACATAATATTGTTCCCTTTGTTTTGCGTATGCTCGTGTCGCTTACAGTTGAAATCCTTCTCTGATTTTATTGTTGTTTGCAAGGTTGCAACGTTAAGCAAAGCAAATTTTGAAAGTCCACTAAAAACATATCTTACATTTTGGTCATAGATAATGTTGAAGATATACGTTATTGTCAACATGTCTAAGTGGTAAAAAAAAAATATATATATATATATAATGTGTATATGTGTGTGTGTGTGTGTGTGTATATATATATATATATATATGGTGGAGCGACGCTGTGTAGCTCTTTTTTGATGTATCCTGCACTCCTTCTCCTTTTTACTAATGTGAGTGTTTGAAGTGTCATTCAATTCAAGGGCACAGTGCGTCACATCGCAGAGAAATTCTCTCCTTCTTTTAGCCCGAGATCCCTTTCGTTTTCTTCTCCTCCCCTCACTGCTGCGCACTTTTGTTCTGACTTTGCGTGTGTTCTTGAATGTGTTTGTGTGAATATGACTGTGTGCGGGTGTGTATGATTCACCAGGATGGGACGGCGGAGGTGGAGGGACGTGTGTCCCAGGGGATGCTGGGAAGGGTTCAGTGAACGGGGATTTCAGATGGAAGAGTAGAGACATCAAAGGCCCACTAGAAATGTGTTTGTAATGGAAAATATCAGCGATGGGGCTGTGATTATGTCATGAGTATTGTGCTAATGCCACTGCTGTGAAGAACAATTGGCTCTAAACGATGAATTAGCTTAGCCTGTTAGCATGCATGACTGCAAATCATAAAAAAAGGATGTTAAGCAGGGCCCTCATGTTTTGTGGCTTTTACATTTTTTTCATTTATTGAAACAAAATTGGCACCACTTACCCAGACAAAACTGGAAGGCCACTCACTGTCTAACAAATATTAGAAAGCTCTGCTATATAGGCTATATATTAGGGCTGCACAATTAATCGAATTTCTAATCGCGATTACAATTATGGATGCCACAATTACAAATTACAATTTCAAGGGAATAATCGACAATTATGATTTTTGTCATAATCGTGCAGCCCTACTATATATATATTCCAGTTTACCTGGAAATGAAAATCATCATGTCTTTCCAAACCTGTATATATGACTTTATTTCTCCTGAGGAACATACACACTGAAAAAATTTGGTGTAGGATTTAATTTGTAACAATTTTCATTCAGAAATTGCTAGTAATTTCACAAATAATTACAAAGAAATTGCAAGTAAATAAAAAAAAAAAGTGTTTTTAATAAAGACTGAAATAGTATTTCCTAGTAAAACCTACTCCAATAACTGTTTTATATACATCAAGTGACATGAAGTCAGTACTAAAATTATTATAAGTTATTATACTAATTTTATAGTCAGTTATCCTTTGATTAATATTAATGGCATAATGAACAGGAGGAAGATGTGAGACTCGAGAGCTCTATAAATAAATATTAAAAAACAAAAACAAATGAAGCAGAATCCTGCAAGTCAGACAACACTCATGTACTAAATCTGTACTGTAAAAAAAAACTGCTTTCCCTCCCCTATTATCGAATTGTACTGATACTTTTGACATGCCTAAAAGATAAGATTGATGGTTTATGCACCTGTTGTTGCTTATAGATGTGTGTTCTCTCGTCTGCAGGCCACCAGGGAGGTGATCGAGCGTGAAGCTCCAGGGATGGCTCTAGCAATGCTCATGGGCTCCCTAAATGTCACGCCACTCGGCATGCTGTCCAGGTGAATGCACATGCACAGACATGTCCTCTCATCTCACTCCTTCACTCTGCCTGTCACTCTCAAATGCACAAGAGTAAAAGATGTGTTTGGAATACTAATTGGATTAAATACTAATCATCTCCTTCCTGTAGACCCGTATGTGGAATCAGGGGCAAAACCCTCATCATTAATTTACCTGGGAGCAAGAAGGGCTCACAGGTAAGTTGTTTGTCTGTCTGTCTGTGTTACGTGTGTGTGTGTGTGTCTGTCTAATGGTGCATATATATTCTGACTTCCTCGTCTTCAATTATTCTGAACATACCTCAAAGTATATCATATGTATATAGTCAACAGAATCTATCTACCTATCTACCTATCTATCTATCTATCTATCTATCTA